TTTTTTTTTTTTTTTTTTTTTTTTTTTTTTTTTTTTGGGTCCTTGCACGGGCTGGCCACCCGGGACCCGGGCGGCCCGGCTGGTAGCCTAGTTGCCGCGCTAATTTGGTGCATTTTCCATTTTTGCCACTCTTCAACGTGTGAGCCAAATTAATGTGAAATACTACCCTAACATCAGTGTTTTTTAACGGTCAGAGGAATGCGTTAAAAATCGTAAAAACTAGTCACTTGTGGATTAGGTCATGATCTTTATAGGAAAAAAATATTTTTTCTTAAATTAAAAAATCATTTCGACTGTCAAATAACCACCATGCGAATTCGTCACTTTTTCCATTTTCGTTGCTATGCCATGCGCGGGCCAGCAGAAAAGTCCTACATCTTGTGTGATTTTTTTAGCTCAAAAGAGTATGGTAAAAATTTACTAAAAAATATTAAAAAATCAGAGTGCATAGATTTTGTTGTGAACTTTTGAGGACAAATATTAGGAAAAAAAAAAAATCGTTTTGGCTGCAAAATGCATTATGGCCATTCGGCCGGTTTTCCACTCTGTAAGATTACGGTTTGGACACAGAGACACATCCTAACGTGCCCGCTGGCTGACACGAGATACACTTCAAAGAAAGACGGTCCCCAAAACCACACAGGGCCCAAATCTGCCTCAACGGTTATCTCATCTGGCAATTAGGTTGCTCAAATTTGTGCATGGGTTCAAACCCCAACTACAACAGCCAGCAACGAACTTCAAAATGAAAATACTAATGTGTGTGTTGGGAGGTGGGTAGAAGTGTGCGTGCATGCATGGGGGTGCATGCGTGGACAAGGGGGTGAGTGCAACCAGGAAGGCGAATCCCCCCCCTTTTCTTTTTTCTTTTACTTACCGCCTCAGCGGCCAGGAGTAAACGAAAAAAAGGAACGCAAAAGAGAGCGGCCAGGCGGGAATACGAAAACAAAAGGACAGGAATACAAAAACAAAAGGAAACAACAGGACGAAAATGACAGCCAAACCAAAAAAATAAAAATAAAAAAAAGGACAAAAACGACAACCGTGCAAAAAGAAAAACAAAAGAAAAAAAAAGGCCGTCCGTCCGAAAAAAAAACGAAAGGAAAAGAAAGACCGCCTGTTTATCAGATGGGTCGCCTCCAAAGATATTCACCCACATCGACGCTGCTCCTGTGCCCCGCCCCTGGGGCACTGTGGCATACTGCGTAGCCACACGGGCCCTGCAGGGCCCGTCCTGCACTTTCAGCCTAAAAGCCTAAAACTTAGGGCTTACATACCCCTGTCGTTGAGCCTGAAAGCTGAAATACGAGGGTCTGCAGGCCCTATTCCGTTTCAGCCTATTTCTAGGCCTTTCAGGCGCAGAGGCTTTTTAGCCTGAAACGGAGGGCCATTTTCAGGCCCTCATTGTGTTCGACCTACCTAAGACTCAGGCACGAAAATAGGGTTTCGAAACAGGCCAGAAATAGCATGTTCCCCACGCCAGCTCGAGCAGGAGCTGCAACTGCAGCCCCTGCCTCCCGTAGGCATTGGCAAGAGCAGCCTCCTGGACTGCCTCGCCTGCAGTCATGAGGCACCCGGTAGTACATAGGAAGTTCCCATGCACTTCACAGGTAGGTAGTTGTCAGTAGGCACGAGTAGTCTTCAGGATTCGGCCACAGCACTCAGGAGGAGCGCTGCAGTAGTCTTCAGCGCTAGGCAGTAGCCTTCAGCGTTAGTGGTAGTCTTCGGCGCTGGGCGCCCATAGCCATAGAGTAGTCTTCAACGCTGGGCGCTGGTAGGTGGTAGATCGTAGAGTTGGGAGAGATACTGGCAGAGGCCAGTGGTTCTTACCTGTAGCGCCATCGCTCCAGCTCCATCTGCGAGGTACCTGCATCAAGGCACCAACTTCACATGTTAGTACTAGACACAGAGAGAGAGAGAGTTCTTCTTCTTCCTCTTTTAAGTCCACCATCTCTTCTCACCCTCTTGCCACCTGACTTCTCAGACTACGACAGAGAGAAACAGAGTTGTGATTTGAGACTTGACGACATTGGATCCAAACTTGACATTTGGGATTCAGACATTTCGACGAGGGACTATTTGGGCCTGTGCCGAAGACTTGGTGTTGACGACATTCCCATCTTTCCCCTCCTCTTCGTCTAACCCCTTCTTCTTCGTCTGTGTATGGTAGGGGCTGGCGCARTCTTCCTGTGTGAAGCGACAGACCCCATTCACACCATGTAACGATGATGATGATGTATGTTCAGGGTTGCATTGCAATATTGATTGTTCGAATCACTGGTATCTAAGTCTTCCGCTGTGTTATCTTGTACTTTGTATTGAGAGGTCGGTTCTTGTTCTGGTCTGCACGTTACAGTATGCAACAGTTTGGTATCAGAGCGGACCTCTCATTCAGAGGACCCGCTCAATCAAATAGCCAGCTTGCTTGATCTATCGATTACTCGTTAGTAAATCAAGTAGGACTTCGTCAAATCTCTTAATTTTTTTTCTCGCAACAACTATCTGAAATTTCTGATATTCGCATTTCGTTTTACCTGAAAATTTCTGATATTAGTACTTCGTTTTTACGTAACAAATATCTGAAAATTTATGATAAATCGCATTTCGTTTTGTCTGAAAATGCCCGATAGTAGCATTTTCGTTTCTCTGATATTTCGCATACATAGCTGAAATTTCCTGAGGATAGTATTTCGTTTTCTAGGCATATTGGGATAACGATAGAAGTGGTCATATTCTCGAAAACTGGAATTATTCTTTTCTGAAAATCGAATTTCCATTCTATCTCGCAATTTTTTTTTGAAAACCGAAATCTTGCGAAGCCTACCAATATTGGGTTTATGTGGACCAGGGCGGGCCCCTTTGTTTTGAGTCGTGTGTTTTTTCGACACATTTTGAATGAGTAGGATGGATACTCGAGCCTGGGAAAGTTCGAACTGCTGTCTTTTAGCAGAGTAGGACAAAAACCGAACTCGAGTACTAAGACCTCGGGGCTAATAGTAGTAATCGTTCGGCCAAACATTTTCAAATCAGAATAGTAGAAATGGTTTGCATAGGTTAGGATTCAAACTCTAGATTTGTACTTACCTTCTGGCTTTTTCGAGTAGTGACTTGGTACCGTCGACAGGACCTAGGTGTGGTGTGGTTTGGACGGATCGAACATCAGAGACGGGGGAGTGGACCGCAGGGAGGGGGGTTTAGTCGTCTTCGACGGCTGTGGAAGTCGTGCCTTTCATCACTCATCATGTGCTTTCAAGTGACCACTGTTAACAGCCACGTGTTAACGTGAGTCTGTTCTATAACAGATGCTTTGATGAACACACAGCTTGTATGGCCTCAGGCCAAGTGTGTTGTTGACTGCGTGCTTTGCAGATCTTTGAATCCTACCAATATTGCGTTAGGCATATTCGGAGGTTGCCATATTATCAGAAACTTGATTTCGTTCTTTTCTAAAAATCGCATCTTTACTCCATTTCGCAATTTTTTTTTTCAAAGATCGCAGTTTGTAAAAGCCGAAACCTTGCGGAACCTAGCCTAGATCCCGTTCATAGTACTCTTCTGACATGTCCTACTCATAATAGATCGACAGATATA